TCCTTCCTGGTCATTTGTCCAATCTTCCACCTCTTGTAAGCTTCTTTTTTGTGTTTAAGATCAGCAAGGAGGGTAGGGATAAGATACAGAGGGACCTAGACAAATTAGAGGGTTGGGCCAAAAGAAACCTGATGAGGTTCAACAAGGACAAGTGCAGAATCCTGCACTTAGGACAGAAGAATCCCATTCACTGTTACAGACTAGGGACGGAATGGCTAGGAAGCAGTTCTACAGAAAAGGACCTAGGGGTTACAGTGGATGAGAAGCTGGATATGAGGCAACTGTGTGCCCTTGTTGCCAAGAAGGCTAACGGCATTTTGGGCTGTATAAGTAGGGGCATTGCCAGCAGATCGAGGGATGTGATCATTCCGCTCTATTCAGCATTGGTGAGGCCTGATCTGGAGTACTGTGTCCAGTTTTGGGCCCCACACTACAAGAAAGATGTGGAAAAATTGGAAAGAGTCCAGCGGAGGGCAACAAAAATGATTAGGGCGCTGGAGGATGACTTAAGAGGAGAGGCTGAGGGAACTGGGATTGTTTAGTCTGCAGAAGAGAAGAATGAGGGGGGATTTGATAGCTGCTTTCAACTACCTGAAAGGGGGTTCCAAAGAGGATGGATCTAGACTGTTCTCAGTGGTGCCAGATGACAGAACAAGGAGTAATAGTCTCAAGTTGCAGTGGGGGAGGTTTAGGTTGGATATTAGGAAAATCTTTTTCACTAGGAGGGTGGTGAAGCACTGGAATGGGTTACCTAGGGAGGTGGTGGAATCTCCTTCCTTAGAGGTTTTAAGGTCAGGCTTGACAAAGCCCTGGCTGGGATGATTTAGTTGGGGATAGGTCCTGCTTTGAGCAGGGGGGTTGACTAGATGACCTCCTGAGGTCTCTTCCAACCCTGATATTCTATGATGTTAAGTGCTTCAAAATGGATTCCTTGAGGACCTGCTCCATGATTTTGCCGGGGACTGAAGTGAGTCTGTAGGTCTCTGGGTTCTCTTTCTTCTTTTTTTTTAAATATGGGCACTATATTTGCCTGTTCCCAATTGTCTGGGACCTTCCCCAATCGCCATAAGTTTTCAAAGATAATGGCCAGTGGCTCTGCAATCACATCAGCCAACTCCCTCAGCACCCTTGGATTCGTTAGATCTGGACCCATGGACTTGTGCATGTCCAGCTTTTCTAAATAGTCCTTAACCTGTTCTTTCACCACTAAGGGCTGCTCACCTCCTCCCCATATTGTGTTGCCCAGTGCAGCAGTCTGGGAGCTGACCTTGTCTGTGAAGATGGAGGCAAAAAAAAGCATTGAGTACTTCAGCTCTTTCCACATCATCTGTCACTGTGTTACCTTCCCCATTCAGTAAGGGTTCCCACTTTCCCTGACCACCTTCTTGTTGCTAACATATCTGTAGAAACCCTTCTTGTTACTCTTCACATCCCTTGCTAGCTGCAACTCTTGCATGTTTCACTCATTTTAGTTCTCCTCCTCCAGGGGCTGGTGGTGCTACTGCTCTGGGGTAACACTGAGGTCTGGTATGTTCCTGGACACATGGCATGAGTTGAGCCAGCATGTTTCTGCACTGACCAAGACAATAGCAAAACGCCCATACAAGTGAGTTTGTGTCACCTAGGCAGATACTCCCAACTCTTAACCCCGAGCTGAATCCCAAGCCCAGAACATCAGCATCACTCTTTGTTCTGGTTGTGACTCTGACACACTGTGGGAGCAGGGTTGATGCTGCTCCCATGGCAGATCCTTATAGAGAGAGTCTCAAACCCTGAACTCAGTGCCGTGGTATTTCAGGGGGCTCCATGTGGGGGTGCGGACCCAGTTTGTCTCCTGTCACGGTATTCAGAATAGAGTGGATGTAGGAATGTTCATTTCATGACTGGCCCTGTATGGTTATTCGGCTCTTTCCCCTGCCCCATTGCCATTCACACTCTCAGTACACTGTGCTCTACCATCTAGGAATAACAGTGTTTGTGGGATAAGAGGTGTAGGCTGGGAAATAAGATCCCGTGAGGAACATTAGGTGACAGTAGAACATGCTGTCTTAGCAGCAGGAGGGAGGTGACCCTTCTGAAGATGGAGAGGGATGTGAGCTAATGGAGGAAAAATGCTGGTCCTGGAGGAATAGAGGTGGACTAGCAAGAAACTCTATTACAAAGGCTGCTGGTAAGATGTGATCCCCCAAACATGCACCACTGCATGTCCTATCCTTGCAGCTGTCTTTCTGCAGGAAACAGCTGGAGACCCAACTATTCTCCTTCTGCACTGATGGGGGCTGGTCCAGTGGCATACGTGTGGAGAAGGACGGGATGGGACTGCAACAGGTGTGGAAGAGACAAATCCAGCAGTTTAACAAAGTTAGCCCTGTTGCGGGCTAGACAAATCCAGCAGCCATAGCAGCAGCATACCCTTTCCCCAAGCCTACTACTTCAGGTCAGCCCTTGAGCCACTCAACAACATAAGAACATATATAAGAATGGCCATACTGGGTCAGATCAAAGGTCCATCTAGCCCAGTATCCTGTCTTCCGACAGTGGCCAATGCCAGGTGCCTCAGAGGGAATGAATAGAACAGGTGATCCATCCCCCGTCGCCCATTCCCAGCTTCTGGCAAACAGAAGCTAGGGATACCATCCCTGCCCATTCTTGTGTTATGAGGAGTAAATAACACTTCCTTATTTACTTTCTCCACACCAGTCATGATTTTATAGACCTCGATTATATCCCCCTTAGTTGTCTCTTTTCCAAGCTGAAAAGTCCCAGTATTATTAATCTCTTCTCATATGGAAGCTGTTCCATACCCCTAATGCATTTTTAAGCGTACCATGGATTTATATAGAGGCAATATGATATTTTCTGTATTATTATCTATCCCTTCTCTAATGGTTCCCAACATTCTGTTCACTTTTTTGACTGCCACTGCACACTGAGTGGATGTTTTCAGAGAACTATCCACAATGACTCCAAGATCTACTCCCTTCCTGTAGAAAAGCCCTGTCTGATGGAATGGGACCATCACCAATGGACAAGCTGCCCTTCTATAAAATGTCTGTAGCTGCCTGCAAATAACAGGGTTTCATGGTCACACTAGGGAGACATTTCAGTAATTGCTACTGTAAGATCTATTAGCTTGTCTAGTCCCCCCCTGTGGCCCAGCTAGCCCAGGGCTCCCCCGCCTTTTGTCTAGTCCCCCACTTTGGCCTGGCTTGCTCAGGGAATCTTCCTGTGGTACATCCAATGCCTTTGTCTGGGCTGATTTTAAATGGCTTAATCCGAAGCAAATGAGATAGCAGGAATCAATATAGGCCTGTCAGACAGTTGGGGAGGTGAGGAGGAGGACGGGATGAGGAGGAGGAGAAGATAGCAGTAGAATCAGTGGATGTTTCTCACTGGTAAAATGTATGGTGTGAAATGTTAGGCTTCTGCTTAACACTTCTGTGGTTATTTTTGGTGGGAGACAAACACTTTCTACCAGGAAATACGGTTTCCTCAGCAGTTTAGAACTAATCACACACAAGCTTTGTCCCTTTGTCATCCAATGAGGCAGAGCTTACAAATAAAAGCCTCACTAGTCCTTTTGCCAAATGCATACTCCCTCTCCCCTGCTCAGATTGTCATGGGTACATCTCCATGGAGGGAATGCTAACCATTTCCTTGGGAACAGGGAGGATGGAATGCACATCAGTTGTGTGGGGGGTGGGAGTGATTTGTGAGCATAAATTCTTACTTCTGACTTTATCCTCTTAACCCAGCATGGCAGAAGAAGCACTGCGCCTTCAGCCACAGGTGGATCTAAGTCCTGTGCTGGAGATCAAATTTTAGTTGTATGGTGTCTACACCAATTTGTTCTCCTGTTTCCTCTAAGGCCTATCAAGAGTGCAGCACAGAGAAGGACAGACTCATAGACTTTAAGGTCAGAAGGGACCATTATGATCATCTGGTCTGACCCCCTGCATGATGCAGGCCACAAAGCCGTCCCTACCCTTTCCCTTGACTCTGCTGTTGAAGTCCCCAAATCCTGTGGCTTAGAGACTTCAATTGGCAGAGAATCCTCCTGCTAGCGATCCCTGCCCCATGCTGCGGAGG